CTATATATACACTAGTACATATATGAGTGTGAGTGTGTCCGTGTATTTGTTTGCGCGTCTGATGAGCCCAATTCGTAGAGACCTATGGGCTTGGTCTAAAATTATGTGAGCGATTTTACGGCCTGAAAATTGTGTGTTGAATTTTTGAATGGAATTTTGCAGTTGAATTTTTGTGTTTACCTATTTATGACTATTTCATGAGCTTATGTTGTTTTAGTTCTGTGTTCATTGTTGCCATCTGCGATCTCTTGCTTGCCTTCTATTTTTGCCCAAAAGCCAAAATTATGTGAAATACTTAGTTGAAAAATATGGAAATCTCTCACCATAGAGAAAAATATTTTAATACACATTTGCCTCAAGCATAGACAAACTATTTGCGTAGAGCTGTGGCCAATAATTTGCTAACTTTTATGGAAATTCTGGATATTTATTATATATATACACACACACACACATATATATATATATATATATATATATATATATATATATATATATATATATATATATATCATATGTGTGTATATGATTGTGCGCGTGTGCCTATGAAGCTCGCCCATTACTAACACATGAGCGCTTTTTTTGGCATTGCCCGGCAAAATTTTGTTGTTAAATTTATTGAGCGTAAAATTTTGTGCAAATTTTTTTTTTGACCAACACCAACTGCCCAAAGAGACAAATAGAGTGTGCAAGAGATATAAAGAAAGAAAGAGTGAGAGAGAGAGCAAGTTACACTATCATTGTGTATGTGCAAAAATAAATATAAATATTTATTACTCTGCGAAAAGTGACTTTTGTGTGGCAGACTTTGTGTGCCTGACTCTAGCTCTCGGCACATCAAATGCTTTTTATATGTAAATGAAGCGGGTCTGCAAGTGTGCGCTTGGAAGACCATTGACCCATTTTATATACGCCTTAAACTGTGCGTAGTTATGGTCAAAATTGCTGGGCACTTAGGGACTCGGCCAAGCAATCAAATCACGCATTCAACCAGCTAATGACGTCGCCTCCTGAAAAGATAATTGCAGGAAAACCCAACGGGCAGATAATTATAAGACCTCATGTGTTAAGTCGGTGCAAGGCGAGTGCACGACTTATAGTGAATTATAGCTTATATTTCACTAACACTATTACGTATAATTAATTTAACAAGCTTCCAAATTGAATATAGTATAGAAATAGTGTACAGTTTTGAAAAAGGAATGCATACATATATGCATACACGTAATGGCTTAAAATATATTTCTAATAAATAACCAACTGCAAAATATATTATTATGAAGATAATTTACTAAAATTATGCTTTAAACTTTAGTTACGTCTATTTTTTTACAACATTTCTAATAAAATTACTTTATAATTTAGTTATATAAATAATTTTATTTTGTTTTGCGTATCCAATACATTTTTGCAAAAATTTTGTGGATTACTTCACAAATCATACATTCGTTCAATAGAAATACACAACTTGTTAAATAATTTAATAGCCGTCACCCAGTTGAGCTTTGAATCGTATCCTTGATCTGAGCTGTGCCATGATTTACATCTCAATGTGCACTAAAGTTTATGTAGACGATAAACATTTACTGTTGATCCATAATCATAATACCAGATCAGTGCGTATATAACATAATATTTGCTATAAATATATGGCACATCATATAAATGCAGTAAACCAAATGCTGTACAAATATGTGACTCGCATTGCAATAAACCATGCCGCAGTCGAATTTCGGCTTTTATAGACTTATTTACCTGGAGAGAAAACAAAAATTCAAATAAAAGATACAACTGACGCAACTTTTGTCATAGACATTCCTGAAACATTGAACATAGCTCAGGTGGGCATAGCTAGGTGTGTGCGTGGAGGTGTGTATGTATGCTTGCGTGTGTGCGTAGGCGCATTTACTCATGTATTGGTCTGGCTAGACGAACGCCAGGCACCAGATAATCATTTCATTTTACAACTTTTTTTGTTTGCCCCCCAAAAACTTGTGAGTTCTCTTTGCCGAGCCAGCCCTTGACGTTGTTATTGTTTCCGTATTTCGTTTTATTGCGGCGTTTATATTTGTTGTCAGGAAATACCTTTGTGTGCTCACATTCGCTAGATACAATCGCAGCACGCAACAATTTGCACTTCTTTATGTTGTTCGAACTTCAAACTTTATGTACACGTGTGTGAGTGCAAGTCTGCCTCTTTGAGTGTATGCGTATTCGTATATTATTTATAAACATATTTTACGTTTCATGCTTGCGCACAGCTGCCACGCTTCCACTCTCCCACTCCCCTACTCACGGTACTGGCCAAGCTCTTGAGCCTTGTGTGTGATTTTATTTATTTCCGTTGTGCCTGCCAAGTTGGCACCTGTTCCGGCAGCCATAGTAGCGACAACAGCCATAAAGATTATAAAGAACGGATACAAATCTGTGTATTCGATTCAGATACCGCTGCGCCAAGTCCCGTGAAAACTTTAAAAGATTTACCTTAACCAAAAAAGTGTCTGCCTGCGTACCTGCCCCTAGGCCTGTCGATCTGTCTGCCTTCAGCTTGCTCACGTGCCGTTAGGTGCTTTATTACAATAAAGTATACTTTTGCCAGTTCAGATACACTTTTAGTTTGCCAACACCTTCTCGTTCCATTATGTTTTTTGTTTTTTGAAACATTTTTCCACAACTACATTTTGTTGTTCTTGCAATTTGCAACCACTCAAAGATTTTGTACGTGTTTGTTTGTTTGTTTTGCATTTGAATTTGTATTTGTATTTGTATGTGCCTAGGTAGTTGTTATCTTTGCCTATGGATGGACATAGTTTTACAGTTGTTTGATTAAATTTGTGGTTGCTGTGGTGCTAACTCTGCACTCGGCTCTCAACTAGAGCCAATCAGCCTGCGAGTTCTTCGAGCAGGCCAGCAAAAGATAAATAAAGTTTTAATTGGAGGCATTTGCAAGCGACAAAGCCACCAGGCTTAGCAAAGGTCAGTGGTTATTATGGGAGCTGCATGCAAATTCAATTAACTACAGTCTGGCTAACCACAATGTGGTACGGTACGGTACAAAACAAATAAGTTCATAATATCTATAAGATCTGATTATCTCTTGCTTTGTTTTCAGTCGCAATGCAATAGCGGAAACGGATGTTGTTCAACTTTTATGAACTAATTGTATTTTTTAGTTAACTGATTCTCCATTGTGAATGAAGTGTAGCGGAAATCGTGTCTGCAACATTTTTTTAAATGTGAATTGTTTGAATGTGATTTTAGGAAAATTATTATTAAACACAAGTTGTTATTGTTGACTCAGATTTTGTAGCAATTTTTAAAACTAGTTCGCAAAATCAGTAAATCCATTTTGAATTTCAAATTTTCAAATTAAATTTATGCAGAAAAATTATTTCCTGTTAATTTTTTCAGAATTGAAATTGTGTTTTGAAAAATGCTTATTGTAAGGATCCTGCATTAGTTTACAAAAGTAATTTAAGGCAACACAATTTGAAGTCCTTTCTCCTACAAGCTTATCATCTTTGCACATATGTCATAGAAACCAAAGGAGTATTTATTTAGCAGAAGATTTAACTTAACCTTAAAGTCTGATAACTCATTGAAGTTGATAATGTAATTATGTTGAAAAGGAAATACAACAAATAGAATACTCTGCAGTGCTTATCATGTGTGAGCAACAATAAGTTAGCCCAACAACTACTTACATGTTTAAACAATATTTCTTAATTGAAATGCTGCGGGGCAGCTTTTGACTTGTATTACCACACACAGACAGAGCAGGCAGACAGGCAGGCAGCAAGATTCCTAGTTGAACATTTGCAGTGACAGCGTTTGACCAGGCCATTGCTCATGAGCTTACTCGCACAGCACCACAAAACCAGGCAAACCGTACCAAACCGCACCACCCACCTACTCGACCCCGTCAAACACTTGTGCTTACAATTTTGCTAGCACTGCAAGCGAGCTGAGCAGAAATTAATTACATTGAAGTCATTTATCAAGAAAGTTTATTTCTTGCTGCCAGCCCAGGGTCCAAGTACGGGTCCGGGGTCCCGAAAAAAGCTCAGCAAGCCGAAAGCAAAACAGAGGCAAGCCCCGAACCACAAGGCGTCAGTTGTTGTTTACTTTTGGTTAGTTATTTGCTGTTCTTATGCTTATTTTTATTTATATTTTTTTTTGGCCTGCCCATTGTTAGTGCGAAGTAAATCAATAAATGAAACGGAGCTTAGAATACTTTTTGTGCTTTATTCTGTTTATTTATTTTTTCGTTTGTATTTGCCTGAGGTTTGGCAAAAATAATTGCGAAACTTTAGTGGCAATTCGCAAATTGTTTGCTGCATTTTCGATTAGCAAAATGTCAACTTCAAATGAAAATGGAAATGAAAATAAAAATAAAAATGAAGAGGCAAATACTGGGGTGTTTTCGCCAAATAGCTGTTAACCCGCCAGGAGGTCAGTCAACGGGTTGAAGCCATTTTGAAAATTTCATTTCACTGGCTGCTAGAAAATTGGCAATAGCCAAAACAACTTTGAGCTGCCACTACATGGCAGCAATATCCATCACTAGCTAACTGCACGGCACTGGTCAAGCTTGGCCATATACAAAAATTGGTTTAATCAACTGTGAAACAACTGCAACAGCAGCAGTGGCAGTGGCAGTAGCGGCACTTGCAAAAATAGCCCCTAAAAAACAAGAACAACAACAATGACAAGAACGGCTATCGCAGGAGTTTCGAAGAGTTAGACGCGTACTGACAGCAACTGGGAATGGGAGTTGGCTTCATTTACGCGAGCTGCTGCGTGGGCCATGTCAGGTCATAGCTATAGATGTATATATATATATATATATAGAACTTATCGATTCACTTTCCTTGTCAATGCACAATGCCAGCGGCAAAAGCTACGCTGCGCGAAACGTTGCCAATTCAAACTTTTTTTATTTCAATTTTTCACTATACGTAAATATTCACATCGATTTGTATATGTATCGTCATTTACAGCCAACAACAACAACAGCTTAAAATATGGACGCAGAAGCCGATGGAGTGCCACCAACGGCGCCAGTTGCAGCTGCGACCACGGCGAACAGCGATCTGGACTTGGCCGCCCGGCGTCGCCTCTTCATCTCACAGCCCTCGACGCTGGCGACGCGTCGACAGCAGGCCGTCTGTGTTAGGCGCGCCCATAAGATGTATGGCAGTGGCAAGAGTCCAAATATCGTGTTGGATGGCCTAAATATGACAGTGCCCAAGGGGTCCATGTAAGTACAGTTCACTATTTAAGTAAGTTTCAGCTCATCCTCTTTGTTTCCCGCATATTATAAATACACCAAGGTATTTACAAATATCAAATCAAAGCATTTACGATTTAAAGCAAGCAAATGTTAAGGAATTGGTTAAATATCATAAAATGAAGTATTTCAAATATCATATTTTTGACCGTCGGCTTATTAATCACATTCAAAAATGCAGTGTTGTAAACGCCAATTTGAGCCCATCTTTCGTTTTGTGCGGATAAACTTGCAAATATTGTTTATTACAAAAACGTCTTATTGCATTTTTAGTGCGCCCTGTTCCAGTTGTCTAATTGATCGATTTTAGATCCAATTCCAATTAAATGAACTTCAATAAAAGTAACTAACTTCAAAAATGTTACATGTAGAATTTGTGGATAAAAAGGAAAAGTTTAAATTATCAACTCAAACTGAAAAGCACAATTTAACAAATTCCGCTTCAGGTTCACATAAATTTTTGATTACATAAGAGAGTCTGAAGTGTTCTGTAGTGTGTCGAGACCTGTTAAAGTCAAAGACAATTCGGATAAAATTCTTTTGAGCCGACCATGTCATGAAAATAAACAGTTTTAACCAATGAGATTGATTAAATAGATAAAACAAAAAAATTTACAAGACTTGACTCAAGCTCTATATTTGAAATGATCTGATATGTACATACATACATATGTGTATGTGCAATGCAGCCAAAATGGAGTCGGCGTTACTGGTGATTTGTGGCGCTTGAACTTGCAACAAAAGGCTGCCAACTAACAAGAGCAACAGCTAAATGCAAATGCTCTTCGACAGGTCAGTGGGAGATATTTTGGTGTAGATAGTATGCGTGTGGTAAAATGTTATTGACCGCATTTAACACTCGAATTGCTGTTGATGTGGCGTTGCCAAGCAGCAAATGAGGCGCAGATGAAGCCGACGACGCTTTGTCGACACGGTAAGTGGGTCAATGTCAGCAGTTGAAAAACTGCCAAATTAACACACAAAAAGTCGTTGAGTGTGAATGTGAGTTTGAGTTTGAGATTGGTAGTATGTGTGTATGACTTAACCAGACGTTGGCCCAGAGACACCGCGACAGCCCGTGAAGTAGCTGAAGCTACAGCATCTCGAAACCGAAACCAGTTTTGTAGACAAGACACAAACCACAGCTCGAGCGCTCAGAGAGCGTGCTGCGACGTTGCCAGACTTTGAAAACGGCCAACAAAAACATGAATGAAGCAGCCCACACAAAAGTTTGACCATGAAATCATCGAAGCGACTGCCTTGAGGCGGGTGTTTGTTTTGACCATTTGGCGAGATATTTCACACCACTTATACCACTGACAGATTGACTGACTCAGTGACTGACTGTCACGCAAATCTGTGGAAAAAGCACGCACACACAGAGTATAAAAGCCGACGCGTTGTCGCGAGTGTTACCCCAGAAACTTCGGCTTCAAATAGACAGACAAACAAAGGCGAGTGAAAAAAAAACTAGAAGAAAATATAAAATAAAACGAAAAACTGTCAGCAGCGCGTTAGTGTGAACAAGAAGATTTAGCACAAAATATGTCGCCCCTGCTCACCCGACTCGAGTTCTCCCAGCTGTCAGTCGAGCCCTAGGCGAAGATTTGTGTTGTTGTGATGTATACAAAAAAAAAAAATGACGAAAAGGAAGACAAAGGGAGAAAGACTGTGCAATCCCTAAGCCCAAAAGTTTTAGGGGCTTTTTTAGGCGCGGCTCAGCTCCCATCTGTCTGGCTGTCTAGCTGTCTGGCTGTCTGTGTCTGCGTCTGGTGACTGACATTTGTTTTGTTGTACAAGTATTTGCTCGGTTTTCGGTGAGGGATTCGCCCGTGGCCAGAGCCGGATACATCAGCAACGCCATCTCTGACGGCTGCCACAGTGATAAATAATTGCATGTTGCTTGCTTTATTTGCAATGAATTATATTGTTTTTATATTTTGTTGCTGGCCACAAGCCCACACACACACACACACACACCAGAAATCAGGGTATTCGCACACACTCATACATACACACGTATTTATATAGGCAAATAAGACAAGCATAGACAATAAACACTTAGGAGTGTGACAGAGTCCTCTTCTGAAGTGTTGTTCTGCGGTCTGCCAAAACTCGCACATAAATCACGCCATCCACGCATAAATAAAGTACGCAGAAATTACGCGGTTTTTCCAACAGCCATGAACAGGGGCAAATTTATGGGCTTTCCGCTCAGTGTACTTGATTTGCACGATTGAAAAGCCTGGCGGCGGTTTTAATTCAATATCGACAATCAGTTAGCGATGACCCAATAAAAAATCCAGCCGGCCTGCAAACAAAGGACATCAATTCTGTTGGCTAATAAGTGGCAGGCGTTCAAAATAATAAAAATATGGAGTGCTGTGGTCGAGAATGCTTGACGGGGATCTGTTCTGTAAAGTGGTTTTAAGAGCTTTGAATTAAATTTTCAATGCACTGAATTAACCCGAGACAGAGTGAGAGTGAAATGTGTGTGTGTTTTTTTTTTCACGAATCCAATAGACTGTGAATGGTTTTTAAAAATAAATAGAGGCCAGAAAGTCGAATATTCTTTGCAGACAGACTGGATTGTCCAGAGTGCATAATCACATATTTTCTTTAGGTGTTTTCTAATTTTTATACGCAAACACCAAATAAGAATTATATTGCAAATGTGAATTTCATAAAGAATAAATCATCTATAAAATACCGTTTATAAATGTATTAAAATTTGTATGTTGCTGTCAGCGCCAACTGTAAAATATTAAAATGTTGAATATTTCTGCATTGCTTAACTAATTAAAACTTTAAATAGATACATCACGTTTCTTCTATAGTTGTCACGAACAATACTAAAATTCCCAAAAGAGATGTTGGCTAAATCTAGGAAAAAGCAATAGAACGTGATTGTGTATATTTGGCAAATTTATTGACTAAATTCAATTTCGGTAAAACACAAATATGTGTTTCTATGAATCGAAGTCATAGTCCACATTCAAATTGAATTTAATTTGAGTTGGTTTAATCATTGGACTGTGTAATTCGCTTATGATTACACAAGCCGAATGCCGCGAAACAAAAGCAATTACTTACCCGTATTTAACGATCCAGTTCGCATTACAAGAGAGAAGTTATTGCGGCTTACTAAATTAGACATGGAAAACAACTAGAGAAATAACTGATATTCAACATAAAGCGAACAACACTTAATGCACACGCACAGACTACAAATTGCAATAATTATAAAAAATAGCCTTATAATTTGCTAGGCTATTCACATTGTAATTTAATCATCTGAAATCTTATATTTTACTCTTTGCATGCACACGAATTGGTCACAATGACAATATATTGTGAATAGCTCGACTAAAACTGAACATGATTGAACGGCAAATATCCTTATGTGTTTAACTTAATCCACTTACTTTACACTTACTTTATAGTTTTACCGCACAAGGTTAGAAGGGTTTATTGCATCGCAATGTCTTCACATGATTACTATATTATTTTCTTCATAATCGCTAAAGGGTATGAAATCATCGGCATTGTTTAAACAACTCGTCTTTATGTTTGCCTTTTGGCATCGGAATTGCAGGTGCTGTGCTCTTTTTACTTGTTGCTTCTTGGCTTGGACGAGCTACCGACCACAAACTGTAGGCAGGCCCCATTGATTGCCATGTAATTTCTGCGGTAATGACCTTTCTGACATGATTTATACATGCCGTTGAGGCAAATTGATATTGGGTACAGGAAATGTGATGAAATTGTGACCTGCAAGTCAAAGAAACGAGCTGTTCAGTTTCAGACACTGATTTGCAATTATGCTGGGATTTTATTGGAAACATGAAGAAACATAAAGCGGCTTTGAATGCGACAAAAAGAAGAGTGGTAAGGTTATGCAGAAATGAAATGCTAGGGAAATTGTGAGCATCTAGTCAGTAAAAGTTTTATGAATGGGACAGAAAAGGAAAATGAAAAGCAAGAGGCTCTGTGTAAATTAAATGCAAGCGAGAGACAACGAGCAAATGTGCAGTGTGTATGCTGACCTTTCAGCAATGGAAACTTGATTGTTCAGGTTTGATGTTTTAGAGCTTGAAGAAAAGTAACTGCACAAAGACTGCGGGGCACATTGCATCATCCATTAACTTGATAAACAACTAAAATTAGTGCATATCAGAAGCACAGCTAAAACTTTGCTATTATTTGGCAGTGCAATTGCCGCTGAGTCAACTAAACCACTGCTGCAAAATATGGCTCAAAAACATGCTGGCCAGGTAATACCACCGCATGGCCATGGCCAACAACAACAATAGCTCAGCAACAACAATGGCCTCACGAAGCCGCCATTATTTTGACATACGACAGAGCTGAGAGGCGGCCGGAACAATGGAAAACACGAGCGCTGAACCATTTTACACGCTGGCGAAAAGGACACAGCGACCGGGGACTAGAACTCAGGCCTGTTGATGTTGGGGTGGTCCAGGGTCCTGGGCATTACAATGCGGCAACATGGGGCAGCAACATGAAGAAACATAATGGCTGCTTACAATTTGTGAACGAGCATAATGCGAACATTACATCTGCGCCATTGTTTCTTGCCCCCACAAAACCCCATGCTCCTTAGTGAGTACCCAAGGGGTGGGGTTGGGCCAGGAAAACGGTTCGCAGGGTGTCTAAATTAAATTAAAGCTGTTTAGGTGTAATTGGTCGTTGAGAGGGGTCACAGCCATGGGGAGGGCCAAGAGCTTCGAGTGGGTCTTCTGGCCAAAAGGGGAAAGTGACCCTTTCTCGACGGCTCGAGCTGGATTCTGTATATTGCAGAAACCATGAAAATAGCCAATTAATGGTGCATGAGTCAGGCCAAATTGAGTGCACACACACAATAAACAGCCCATGCAAGAGATTATAAAGCGTGCAAGTGGGAGACCTGTGATTTTCAACACTCACAACACACACATAAATATGATTCA